ACATAACTCTACCCCTGAGTATGTAGAAGCCTGTCTAATCCAGCATCCAGTGGTTCTGAGGTTGGCATAGCACTCAAATCAGGTCAGTTAGTCAACGTATTGGAACTCTTTAGAAAGGAAAGCTAAACAAGTATAGTTGTGCACACCTGTAATTCCAATGACTCAGGAGGTTGAGGCAAGAGGATCCCAAGTTCCAGGCCAGCCTTGGAAACTTAGCAAGATCCTATCTTAAAATAAAATAAAAAGGCCTAGATATATAGCTCAGTGGTAGAGCCCTCCTGGGTAAAAAGAAAGAAAGAAAAAAGAACAAAAAGCCATCTTGAAGTTAATGTTAATGCTCTGGCTTCCATCTTAATTGCCACATATGTGGAAACTCTGCATGAAAGTAAAACTTATAATATAGCCAAACAGGAATGGAGAAAAGCAGAATCCTGTTTGCACTATCTGAGTCTTTGGAATTAGTTATGCCTGGTTTTTTCAGCTATGTGAATCAATTATTGATAATACTTTTTTGACAAATTATAAATTCCTTATTGTTATTTATTCTACCATTATTTGTTCTTAAAAACTAAGAACTGTTCTTAAACCCACTGGAATTGAGTTATAATTTATTACTAAAGAAGCTTGAAAAGTATGACTGTATATAAAATAATAAAATATAGAACTGGGGATTTCAGATCCTTAACCAGTGTTCTTTCCAGACTTTAATGCCTAAGACAGCACCACACTATTGAATAATGCTTTCTCCTTATCTACATGTAGGATGTCTGTATTTGTGTGTTCTACCCACATGCAATCTTGATAATCTCTTTCAATTATAGAGAACAAATTAATTATCAAATAAGCAAAGCAAAGACTCACAACTAAAGGAAGATTTATCATGAGAAATCCAGTGAGAAGATGAATTTATTAGGCAAAGAAGTATGAGGCTAGAACCAAAAAAAAAGATACAACTTAACTGGGTGCATACAACACGCCTGTAATCCCAGCAGCTTGGGAGGCTGAAGCGGGAGGATCACAAGTTCAAAGTCAGCTTCAACAACTTTGTGAGTCCTAAGCAACTTAGTGAGACCCTGTTTCAAAATAAAAAGGGTTGGGGATGTGGCTCAGTGGTTAAGCACCCCTAGGCACCAAAAACAAAACAAAAAAAACTAAAACCAAAAAACCAAATCTAAACTTTAGTGTATACACACATACACACACACACACACATATATATATGTATATATATCTCTCTATATATAGTATGTATATCCCCAGCAATGCTTATATATTTGTATATATTATATATAAACACATATTATATATATATATATATATATATATACATATATACATACATACAAACACACATATATACGTGTGTATACACACACACATACACACACACATATCTTGTTTGGGATTAAATCCAAGTCCTCATGTGTACTAGGAAAGTATTTTATCATACTTAGCAATACTTTCAACCCCAAACAATAATTTTTTTTTCTTTTTGGTACTTGGGATTGAATTCAGGGGCACTCAACCATTGAGCCAGATCCCCATCCCTATTTTTTATTTAGAGATAGGGTCTCACTGAGTTGCTTAGTGCCTTGCTTTTGCTGAGGCTGGCTTTGAATTCGTGATCCTCCTGCCTCAGCCTCCTAAGCCACTGGGATTACAGGAGTGTGCCACTGGGCCTGGCCCCAGACAATAAAAATTTTAAAGGCATGGAAAATTTAATAGTATAATATTAGAAATAATTAAAGCATTTTCAAGCGACCCATTTACCCATTTTAAGAATGTTCATATGATAAAATGCATTTTCACTCAGAAATGTTAAGAGTTCTAGAGTCAAATATGTTTTTATAAAGCTCCTATTTTGTGTACCTTCATATGTCTAAATGTAAGCACTTTACTATTGGTTCTTCATTGGTAAACACCTTGTCTATACAGCGAATTCTGAAGTTTGTATAAGAAAATACATGGCCTTGTTTCCTATCTCTACTTTGGACATATGATTGGCTGACATTTTTGTGCTGTATAGGGAAGTCACATCTGTCATCATCAACATATTCTCCAAAGTGAACGTTCCCTTAATTAAATCACAATGTTGCAAAAACATACCAATGGGTTTGCTTTTGCCTGTAAATGGGATTCAAAAATTTTAAAAGTTAAGTCTAGCATGCAGCCTTGCTAAAGACCCCACTCGTATTTGTTTTTGATATTTTTCTAAAGGAGGTTCTCAGGAAGGCCCTATTATGCTTGCATGCACCTGTTTTTCCTAGTGGAATAATTGGTGTCAGGGGACTAAAGAGAGAAGATTCTGTTAAGATTTGGTCATGCAGATAACTCACATTTCGGGTTTTTATGATCTGAGTTTGAGGAACTGGGGTGGAGGATTTCTGAGTCTATCACTCTATAGAGACTACCTATTTAAGAATATGGATGTTTTAGGTTTTGTTTCTTGATGATAGACTATGAAACATGTGTATCCAAATCAGCAAATGTGCTTCTTAAAAATGCAGATCTTTGGGCTCTATCTAATGAATCAAGAACTAAGGGAATGGGACCATGTCAGTTCTCTTAAAATAAATGCTTGCAGTTGATTCTTAGCCACATTTAAATTTTGAGACATTTTGCTATAGACTACATCAACTTCCAGCTACTGTGAAGATGTTTGGGGAATAAGCCCTAATACAAAGTCTATGGTTCCCATTGTCATTGTCTTAAATATCTGATTTATAGATGTCTGGGTATAAGTTTCAGTATGAATGGGAATTCTGAAAAGAATATGCTGATTTAATAAACTAAAAAGCTTAAAATAAAAGATTTTATGCATTTGAAAATTCAGGGCTAGTGAATAACAAAGCTATTCTTTTAACTTCTTCAAATTATATTCCTCTAATGATTGAATATAAAAGAAAATGAAAGCACAGCTGTTTTCCTTCACTTTCTAGTATATCAAAGATGCTCATTTTAACTATCCAAGAGTCATATCTAACACCTCAGATCCTGTCATGTCTTTCCAAACATCTGTAAACTATATGTGAAAATATAGCTAGGTACTTGCTGCAATTGGCAGCCATTCTCAAAGAAAATGGTTTCGACCCTGGCTGCACATTGGAAGCACCTGGAGAAATTTAAGAACAGAATCTACACTTGTATCCCACTCTGGACCAACTACCATAAATCAGGATCTCTGGATAGAGTGCCTAACAATTTTTTGTCTTAAATTCTCAGGTGATTGTACTCTGAACTCAGGACTGGGATCCACTCCACTAGAGTACTTCCCTCAGCAGTCTAATCTCTGACTCAATAAACAACATTTAGCTAAGAACAATTATCAGTGGAAATATTGACTGAAGTTTATGTAGATTATTCATTTTCAGTCTACCACCTTTAATTAAGCTAGATTAGTAGAATGGTGGTATGCTAGGACAGGATTATAATATCTTAGCAAACTTTCTTTTTTCAATTTCCCTTCCTGTAATGCCATGTGCTCTTGTTAAGGGATATGTGCAAGAACAGACCTGCAAGATGGATTTGTCTATACTCTCTATTGTTGAAGACTTTGATTATTCCACATGGCACTGTATTTCAGAAGACACTTGGGAGCTAATTTTTCTGATCTTAATATTAGGAATGCTAAATATTTAATAGACTCATAAATTATGTAGGGGATCAAGTTTTATTTAATGAGCTAATAGAAAGTCTGGAGCCAAGTTTGTTTCCATGAGCAGGTATAATAGGAATTATCCTGTTATTAGTTTTTTCCATTTTCATGTTTGTTTTCCTGTTTTTTTCTTGTCTTCTTATATTTTATTACTATGGTCTTTGTGTCTATTCAGCTATTGTAAAACTGCAAGAACAACATTAAGTGTATATATCATTTAAAATGTAGCTAATAGAGCTTATGATTGCATATTACACTACAAACACTATTATCTGGATTCAGTACAGGTGAAATAATTTTCTCAACTTAACAAACCTGAATAGCATCAAAGCCAACCTGTAAAACACATGTACTGGGCACTGGATTAATTCTGGTTTTGAAATAACATTTATAAGACAGTGAAAGTATCAGGTACAATCAGAATATTGTGGTTGTGATTCTATATTTACCACTGATTTGGTGAAAAAAATCATAGATTAATGGTTAGAGGAGAGAAAATGTATGTTTCGTTTGAGAAGGAAGAACACAGGAATCAAAAATAAGTGAAGCTTTCACTTGGGGACAATGCCCAATTTAAGCTTTAATAAGAAGGTGAGGTAAACATATGGAAAGTGACAAAACCTTTCTTTGGTATCAATTATAAGGAGAAAAATCTAGATTGAATTAATTTTTTTAAATGACATAGCTAGGAGGCATTCTAATATAATTTTTCTTTTTTGCAAAGTACCCTGCAGTGTTTTCATGATTAGTCAATTGAATCTCTAATATTTCAACTACTAAGATACCTCTGATGCAAGTAAGCATTTTGGAGAAAGGGTTCTGGGGTTCAGTTATGTTGAAATGAAATATTACAGGTTCCTATTAAATTTCATTGATGGATTATGAAAAAGGTATTCTAAAAATAAAATGCAGTCACTGTAAGATACTTCCATCATGTCATGTATATATAGAAATTTGGGTGAAATTATTATTTAAAAAGAAAATTATCAATAATAATCTACACTGATGGATTCATTTGTATATGTAATTTGAGACACAAGCTTTCTCTTAACTACGATCGCCTTTTATTAAATTTACTCTCTGATTGATCCACTACAAGCAAAAATCCTCTGTGAATTTTCAAAGAAAGCCTGGTTTCATACATGTATGTAAACTCTTAGCCTGGCTTTAATTTATATTGCTACATAACAAAATATTTTCTAAATTTTATACAGTACAACACATTTCTTTTGGTTGAAGACATTGAGCAAGTTTTACCATATCTGTGGTTTGTGTGATTATTACAAAAGTTATATACAAAACCTTGTAAATATGCAAAAATTGCAAAATACACTCTGACAGCTAATGCTCTGAAAACACTTTATTACACAAATTACATTCAGATTCTGAAAATAGTGTTCTAACAGTGTAACCATCTAAAAATAAGACATCCCAGAAATACACCAACCAAGGAGAAAATTAAAAAAAGAATTTAAATAGAGACTTTTTTTTCTTTCTTTCATTGCAATATAATGTTAGTGATTTTAAAAAAATAGAAGAAGATTTAGCAGCTTTGTCGTCATGTAGCACAAAGTTTCTCTTTACTGCCACAGGCTGAGAATGCTGAACAGGAAAGGCACCAAAGAAAGACGCTGGCAATGGGAGTGCTATTGGGAGAATACTGTGTCCAAGCAGAGAATGGGGCTATTTACATCCACAAAAAAGTCTCAAAAATGTAAATGAGCAAACTTCCATCATTAGATTAGTACTATAATGGAAGAAGAGGACTGCTTTTCTATTCTATATTCATATAAAGACAATGGCACTCTTATGAACTTTAGGAAACTCCTCAATTAAAAACAGAAGCCAACTTAACCAAATGAAATAACGTAAAATGTGTATAGTCCCACATAGACTAGTACATATACAATTAAATGCACAAAACTTTAAACGTGCTGAAGGGAAAGGAATCTGGCATTCTTAGTAAATCTCATTCAACCTAAACCAAAGCCCGGTTTTCAGGAAGAGGGAGGTGGTGGTGCAGGCAGAGGTGCTGAATACTCCTCTTCTGATTCGCTTCCATCATCCTCATCTTTCTCTTGGTCACTGCCCTCGGTGCTGAGGCGGTCAAACCCTTTTCGACTATAGCCTTTACGGCTGGCAAAGAAATTTCCAAGGTTTAAACCTCCACTTCCCTTTCCTAAAGAGAGCAAACAACAATGTAGAATTGAAGTAAAGTTTGCAACAGATGAGACAGCTTCTTTGTAAATTCTTAAATGGTAAATAAAGTTAGAGGTTGGGAAAAGGTAGATATTAAAAAAAAAAAAGTGACAAACAGCCAGATAGATATTACTCCACAGACTTATTAAAAGAAAAAAGAAAAAACAAAGCTCTACAGGCTTATGTGTTTCTGTAGAAATATTTCAGATTGACTTTTCGCCTCCTGTTTTCCCCAGCTCTCTGGAATTGTCATCCCTTGGGCAGCTCTTCATTTCAATGACTTTATGAAAAGGTCATCTTCACTCTGACAAGCTCTGACACGACAGCAGGAATGACAGAAAATTTACCAAAGACAAACGAATCCCGATAAAAGGCAGAGGAAGAGAACAATAGGGAATGGCAAGGTGGAAAAAACAAAACAAAACAAAACAACAACAACACAACCAAACAAACAAACTGGGAAATTTGCTGCCAGAGCCACATATTTGGTTTAGTGTATGGTTTGCATTCTGCATTTACTTTGGGAGATGTTATGCTGTATACCAGGTGTTTAATTCTCAGAGACATAATATGAAATATCTCCTTGCTCTTTAAAGACATGATCTTGTTGACTTTGAACCAAATATGAAGGATTCTGAAAGGTCACAAGCATACCTCTAAATCTTCCCAGCACTCTTCCTGAACTTGCCTCAAGTTTGTGTTCAGAATCTGTTTAAAAAGAAAAAAAAAAAAAGATGGCACATTTCAAAATGAATCCAAGTCACCTTCCTCAACCAATGTTCAACACAAAATCAGGAAGTCTTAAATGTTTAGGATGGCTTGGCTCGTATATGCAATTCTAAGGGGAAAAAGGCAATATGTTATTGAAAAACATAGATATTGAGATGTATCTAAGGGTTTGATTCCTGCCTGTCCCTTACAGACTATGCAATTTTAATATATTAATTCCAGAGCCTTGTTTTTCTCTTCTGAGAAATGAAGGATCAAAGATAATTTCTATATATAAGATGGGAATTTGCATGTGGCATGCTTAGAACATATATATATATATATATATATATATATATATATATAATGCTTAATACACTTTAGTTACTTGTGTTAGGACAGGATAGAATTAAGTTACCAACAATTTGTAAAATTTGAAAGCTTTGGTTACTACAATTTAGGAATATATGTGTTAGACTTTACTCTTTCTATTAAGACTATACATACACCTCTTGAGAAAGCTTTGGATTTATGTACATCATTTCTCCTTTATGGAAAGTGAAGACACACGATATGAAACTGTAAGTATTTTCCAGGTACACAAGGTGACCTAAATGCTCTTAACAGAGCTTCCATCTCCATGAAGAATTCTCCTTTCTTATGAGGACGCAGCAACCCCAGTGGATTTTATTGTTTCCTTATTGTATCTCCCTGCACTTTCTCCCTTGCTTACACCTTTCTCTTGAGGGTCAGGGAAGCCAGGCACAGGGTCCTCTTATAACGTTTCCCCAGTGGAGGCCACGACATGGTTGTATTATCTGCTAACAGGCAGATGACATAGGAACAGCGGAAGAGCCGATGAGCAAGGAAATTGACAGAAAGGGAAGAAGCATCTACTAAGACTGTCAGAAGCCAAAATTTAGACTTTATCTTCCACAGGGATGCAGGACATCCCTTATCCAGTTTGTATCACCTGTGCTTGGCACAGTATCTGATATGGAACACGTGAGTGTGTGATGAATAAAGGAAGGACCTTTAGGAGGATTTCTAAATATTTTACCATGGGTGAAACCCATCAAGAACAAATGTTGGAAAAAAAGGTGAGAAGTTGATCTACTTTTAGAATCAAATATATTAAATGGAAGATTACAAAACTGCAAATTTTCTTTAAGTAATGGATGAATAAAAGCAGTCTCCTATCATCTGACCTGTGCCTCTTCCTTCCCAATACCTTCTTGTAAAGTCAGCATGAGAGAACAATGCCATGTCACATGCCCTCAACAGCAAACAGGATAGATCAAACTTTCTTGACTCCTTAGTCACTTCCTCTTCCAATTTGGGTTGGGTACCACAATTCCCGCCATCTGCCTCTAGATTCTAGATGCTCCTAATATTCTCTGTATTTACCACCACCCTTAGCACCCTCTATGATAGCTTTTACATGACATCTCTCTTTTTTATGTCATTTATTCTGAGTGCCATTTATTCATTCAATCTTCCAACAACTACTTATTAACCCCATTGTGACAAGAACTGTTATTTGTGTTAGGGACATATGAGTAAATAAGATATACAAAACTCCTGTTCTCTTGAAGCTTTTATTTAGCTCCATGAAGATGATGACTTTCTTTCTCCTTGCCCTGCTTTTGACAGTTTCAAGTCTGTACAGGGTCTTAACAGAAGTCCTTCTTGGTAAGAATTAACTATATTTTTGCTGAGATATGTGAATTCAGATTAAAAAAAAAGCCTAAGAAAAATTACCCTGTTAAACTGAACTTTGCTTCCTGTTTCTGAGTTCTTTCTGTGTTAGGGCTTTGCCATGGGCACTGAATCTCTGCCATGGCTGCCTTGACTTGGAAAGGGTCAAGATGCTGTTTTTTGATCTAATGCTGCCTCCCACACTGTCCCATAAACTGCTTCCTAGATGCATCTGTAGACTTTTGCTGTAGGACCTGGGACCCCAGTGGAAGGACTGCTATTGAGGAGTAGGAAACAGGGGTTTGGTCAAAGTTTTTTTATTTGGCCATTTTTTTTTGGTGGGGGGGGGTTCCTGGCATCAAACTCAGGGGGTACTCAACCACTGAGCCACATCCCCAGCCCCATTTTTGTATTTTATTTAGAGACAGGGTCTTGCTGAGTTGCTTAGCACCTCACTGTTGCTGAGGCTGGCTTTGAACTTTTGATCCTCCTGTCTCAGCCTCCTAAGCCACTGGAATTACAGGCATGGGCCACCGCACCCAGCCAGAGTTTATTTGTTTGGATGTCCTGAAAGGAACTCAGCTGCTGGATTCTATACTGTGATAATGATTTTGTAAAATACTGATGGCCTAAATATGACTATTCAAAAACTTTCAAATAGTTTTTTTTTAAAGAAATATGTGCTCTCTTGAGAAAGCTAAAGTTTGAGATAAGAATCTGCTATTACTCTATTCCTTGTCACAATCACTGGTGGTGTTGAGTGTTTACTAGGTTCCAGGTACTTTGATAAATGCTTTACATACATTATTCCATTTACTCTTTTACAACTTTGTGAGGTATTTTATCCAGATTTTATTCATGAGGAAACTGTAGTTTTGAGAGATTAAGTAACTTGCCCAAAGTCATGTAACTGGAGCTAAGGCCAGTGTGATGGGGAAAAATACAACCTCAAAATAACTGACCCAAGTTCTTTGAAAATGGCCTGTTTCTAACCGAAGAAATCTTCTTCTTCCTGATCTGTCAGCTAAATTATACTGACTCTACTATCTACAGCTTTGTGTGGAGATACTAATTGGGCTTAAGCCAATTGCTAAAAGGCAATGTTAAAGGTTAATTATAATCCAACTGTCTAAATTCCAGAGGCTCCAGACATATTTTCTACTGTGATACTAATTATAGAGAATATATGAAACAGAGACAATAACATCAAAAATGTAGAATGCATTAAAACAAAACAAAAAACCAGACACATACAAAAAAATCACAACCAAACTCCTGATGATAATTAGGCCAAACAATCTTTCAAAGGTAGGTTCCAAGTTCAAGTTAAAGGGGCCCATTTTACTTGCCTCCAAAGGCCCTTGATTTTTTCCACCGAATAAATATGGCAATGGCCAGCAGGACAACCACAGGAATAACCAGAAGGGTTGTAATGAGAACAACGGGTACTCCCGAGCCTGGCTCTTTGATCAGTTTCTGTTTCTCTTGAATCTTCTGCAATTCTGAGGAGGTGGGTTTGTTGTCCATTTTGGTTTCAACAACTGCCTCGGCTTCTTCAGGGAAAGAAGAGTTCACAATATTCAACTGACTCAAAGATTCCAGAACCCTCTTACCCACCCCTACCCCATCAAATCACAATTGCACAGAAAGAACTTCTGAGTCCAGTGCACCTGGGTTTCTTATTTCAGTGTCTGAATCCAGCAATCTGGATATGTGATTAGTTATTTCGACAAAATGGTTTTTCACCTTGAAATTGGTTTTCTTTGGTTCTACCTTTAATTCCACAAACTACATATCCTTCTTTTGCATTTGTCTGAGTTAAAGTCACAGGAAGTATGTAGGGAAAAAAATTGGTGTGAATGCTGGAGTCAAACAAACCCGAGCTCAAATCCCAATTCTCCTATGTACTAGCTGTGTAACTTTGGGCAAGTTACTTAAATTATCTGGGCCTTAATAACCTCATTTGTAAAACTGACAATAATATCTTCTTCACAAAACCATTACATATAAATTCCTGTCATCAAGAAGGTACTTAATAAGTATTTGTTTTCTTGTAAGATATACAATTAGTTAATGAATTTTCTTTGATGTCTTAGGCAGTATTGGTACTTTATAAGAATAGCTCACATTAATTACAGGATTACAGATTTCCTTAAATAGTCTTCAGCAAAATGAAAGTGCACACAAATCCATGTATATTATTTTATTGGTGATGAAAATAGTTTACCCAACTAGTCTGTGACATTGGCAGGTACTAGATAGGTATAGGCCTAAAATATTATTTGAGAAACAAATGTAATAAAACCATAGAAGTTATTTCAGGGAACTCGACTAATGAATTGAAAGTGAGGTTGGGCCTTGAGACATTTCTGCCATCGAGAAGCACATATGTGTTTGTGTAGAAAATATAGGGTGCAAAGGATGACAAGAATATTCTCAGGCTAAAAGTAACAGGCACATCTGCAAAAGACTCACAAGATTTCATGGCATTATCTTCTGCCCTAAAATACAGACAGCATGCTATGCATGGCCTAGTGAAGATTTTCATAAAGTGACAAGGATAGGTGGCTTAACACAATCAGGACAGTCTTTGGTTAATGTTTAGTATGTACAAACTTAGTTTAGCATTTTGCTGGGCACCAAGGAAATACTTCCTAAATTACCTAACACACTGTGAATACAACTTATGGTACAAATGATTGACAGGTTGAAACTCTCCACTTTAATGTTCTGAGACAGCTTCCTCCACAGTCTCATTACAAGGACTGAGCACTTGGGCTATGTCAGGCATTTTTCTCTTTTAACTTTCACATCAAACCTGTGAGTAGGCACTACTATTATTATCATTTAGCAGATGGCCTCAAAGTCTTATTTCCTTTCCTGTTCTATGGACAAGGGGAAGCCAGACTTCCCTGCACCACCCCTTTCTTTTTATCCACTAGCCTGGCTCTTGAAACTTGAAGGGGAGGGAAGGATTGATTCACAGACCTAGATGGTTCAAATTTAACTAAAGTCTCAGTTTCCAAAAGGAGTAAAAGTGTGATTCCTGTCTCTTTACTGTAGAGAATATGTAAAAAAAAATTGCTCTATACGTAAACTTACTATACTTAAGCAGAAAAAAACCAATAAAATATATCTTGCGATTAAAAACATAATCTAGAGATGTAGCTTGGCATTCAAGTTGCTTTTGGAAGAAAGGTCTGTTTCTATTTGAAGGCAGGTATTACAGAATAATTACCTAGCTCCATTAAATGGACAGAACCATGGGTGATGTAGGTGACAGACTAAAAGAATCAGCTTAGCATTCATAAAGAGATGATGCAATGAATTTGCTAAGATATATGCACATTACTATAGAAATTTTTTATTTTCCACACCAATTCTGGTAATTTGAGTGTCATTTACTAGAAATACTTGAACATTTTAACTTTTGGAACCAACTGAGTTATATTTAAGATTTAAAGATGCTCTGTATTTTTTTTTTTAAAGGAGGCTAAAATTCTTAAATTTTCCGGTTTTAAAAAGAAGCAATATTGTTGTTCTTTTCAGGACCTTTGTAGATAGAGTAATAAGCAAAAATGATGGTTATCACTTACAAGTCTTATAAATTCCAGTCTGAGCACAAACAATCTAAATTGTGTCACATCTACTCTTTAACCTAAATTCTTTTTTTATACCTTTTTAAAAAATTTATTTTTATATGTTTCTGATGATCGAACCCAGGGCCTTGCACGTGGTAGGCAAGTGCTCTACGGCTGAGCCACATCCCCAGCCCTATCCTAAATTATTTTATTAAAAATCTCAGTTAAGGGATGGGACTGTGGCTCCATGGTAGCACACTTGCCTGGCATGTGTGAGGCACTGGGTTCAATTCTCTGTACCACATATAAATAAATAAAATAAAGGTCTATCAACAACTTAAAAAATTATTAAAATAAAATCTCAGTTAAGTTGGAACACTCCTGATGAATAAAGAATGAAGATGCTCTAATATTAGGCAGGGCTTTGGGCTTCTGGAAAATTAAGGGGTATCGAGCATGACATTCTTCTGTCACCTAAGATGCCAGATGCCTTCTATCTAGAAGAAAAATGTCTTAAAATCTTACAATATCACAAGTTCTTATAGCATCTTTTTAGATATTTGTAAATAAACATAATTTTAAAAAGCTGACGCATAAGAGGTTTTGCTTCTTTAAAGCAATACATTTAGAAAGGGAGACTAGCTTCATTACTGTGTGAGTGTACACATAGAAGTGTATGAATCTCTATTATTTGACAGAGGAATTAGAAAAAACTGGGATAGGAAGGAGGGACATTCTTAATACAGCAACACAGAAACTGCCACCCATTCATTGCAGACAAAACTAAAGGCTGATGGTTTTAGATGGCATATTAATAAGTAGCAGTTTAGAAGACATAAAAGTGCATACAGAACAATGAGATTCAGCTCTTTTAAATGCAATGTACTTCCTTTACAAAAGGTCTAAGAGGATCAATGTGTTAGGAAGTTTTGTTTTGTTTTGAATTTTCTTGAGTCATCATCATCATCTTTTACTGAGGTGTGGGGCATGAGGGCTATTCTTTAGGTGGGATGTCTGTTTTAATAACTTTATTTGAAAATTAAAATCCCTTTCCTAACTTTTTAAAAATCATTCCAAATTCTTTTATTCCTACAATTCCCTTAGAACATAGGTTCTGAAACCCTGTAATTTCTGATTATGTGACCATTTACAATGGGAATGAGTATTCTCAAAGGCAACTTGAATTAGGAGATTTGAAATGAACATGCATCACTGGGCTATTAAATCTGGGATGGTGTTTTTCCCTTTCTGCTTGAATTAAGCTTCATGATTTTGATAAAAGACATGATCTAGGGATCCAGTATGATTTATATTCAATTTGTAATAAGAATATAATCTTAAAATGTTTAATGAGAGTCACATAAACTGGTTGGTTCAAAGAAGAATAGAATAACTTCATCTGAATTGGGGTATTCCTATTAAAACTTGACTATTGTGGCAATATTTAAAAAATGATTTTTGAACTGCTGGTTTCTATCAAGATGGGGATGTTTTCTGACTAAATGGGCTCAGTAGTATGCACTGAGAAAATAGGAAATGGTCTACAGAAGATATTATTTATCCTTCATTGACCAACCCAAAGGGGTCAATGTGGTTGGTTGGGCTGGTCTCAACAGGCTAATTAGTACAATCAAGATTATTTTGGCGGGATCTATTTAAACAAAATTAGTTTGAGACCATTTTGAAGTTCTGGAAATTTCAGAGTAAACTACAACCATTCTCAGCCCGAATTTCCTGGAAGAACTCACAGTAAATAAATTGGTGGGATCCATTTCTCTTCAGCAAAAGAATAGTAGTAAATAATAACAAAGGGTTTGACACAAACAAAGGTTCACTTCAAACCTGGCTCTAACACTTAGTATCTCAGTAACAATTCTGTTCTTCAATGTCCTTAAATGCAAAATTGGGATAATAGCAATGATCACATATTGTTAAGAATTAAATGTGATAATTTCTGTATAGTCCGTTGATTATTCCACAAGTGATAGCTATTTTTACCAATCTTTCCTAGCATCTTATTCCAGGACAAATATGCTTATTAATATATAACAATGATAGAAAGGACCAGGAACCATTTTGGTATAGGAATATGATATGAATGTCACTCGGTAGTAAGTATCACCTGGGTAGAATCTCTACAAATGTCAAGTAATTGCTATTTATTTACCTTATAATACTATCTTACCCCTTTTAACTTTGAGCCGGCTATATTTTCTTATCTACCTAAATAAATACCTAAACTCCCTCTTGGTTCTTGCTTCTTTTCATCTCTTTCAACCTGCTTTCATGAGAAAGGAAAACAAGTAAGCCTCTGGTTAAGTTTGAATATCTAGGCAAATTATTTATAAAGCAACTAATAAAGACATTACTTAGTTACTTAAATATTAGGATCACCCCACAAGAAACACAGTGAGTACTTAACTATATAAATGACATGTCAAAACCCCAAAGATGGTAGAAAGTATAGAAACACAAATTGTTTCCAGGAAAGAGAGAATATAATTCAACAAGGATTTTCAATGAACCCAGTGGTTGCTTACCATTAGCTAAATCCCATTTCTGCATTCATGATATTATATCCCAGGGATGTGGTTTTCATGTATGGGTGAATGTGTCTGTGTGCAATCTCCCTCTCATGCTCCTTACATGCTGTAAGTCTCCTGAGGTCAGGTAGTTTCATTTCCCTTGGATTTGCTATTGTGCTTTTCACATAGAAGCCCTTGGTAAATCTTTGAGGCTTAGTAATACTAGGATAGCAGCTTCGGGAACAGATATATCTTTTCACATCCTTACAGCAATAACTCACCAAAGATTTCTTCCACTGATTTACATTAGAGCCCATTTAAAAAAAAAAAAAAAAAAGCAGCGGCAATATGCAGGTTTAAAGGCTCAGCACATGGCAGAAGTCATGGATCATTTACCAGATTGTATTATATTTTTTAGATTGATAATTCTAAAGGTTGCATTAAAGAGCCATAAAATAATTCAACACAAGTATCCTTTGGTATTAGTTATAAAGGAAATATAACCAACCTTTGATTTCCTGGACCTCGATGCCAGCCTTTTTAACGGATCGATGTTCCATTTCTGTAACAGCAATGCAAGAAGAGAAAAATCAGAATCTCTAAAAAGAACATTTAAAAACTTAAATTTGATATTCATTTTATTCAGTAGAAAACATTTAGAAATTACTCATCATATATATTACTATATTAGAAAAGAGTCCAACACAAACCATAAATTGGTTGTTGGGTCCACAAATCTTGTGTAAAATCTCCTAGGGAAAGCTGAATAGTATCTTTAAGAACTTTATGAATGAGGTTTTCCTTTTGGAGTCCATAATATATTGCATTGTTTCTGAAATATTGAGTAGTTACATTTGATGTAGCCGAAATCTTAGCTGACTACTAATTCTGCCATGTTGGATTATCAGTCTTCTACCTGACAAAAATGAATTTGACTAGTTAAACACTAAAATGCAAATTAAACTTGTTTAGTCTCCAGTGAAATCTTACTGTTCAAAAGGTACTATTTTCCAGATTTATTATGCTCTGGGTTATGCTGAGGGCTTCTTATTTTGAAGTTGTATGCTATGTTACAGGGCTTACCAATTAGAGGTTGCTCAAAACCACTTGGGAAGGCTTTCCAAACTATATTCTCTTATTCCTCTTCTTTCTCTAAATCTTGAGGGGAATAGCCATGTGTATTCTTACCATTTAGTTATGAGGTGTCTCCCAAAAGCTCATGTGTAAGACAATGCAAGGTAGTTTAGATGTAAAATGATTGGGTTATAAAACCTTTAACCTACCTAAGTAGGTCACTAGGGGCATGCCTTTGGGTTTGTATTTTGTCTGTGGTGAGGAGAGCTAGCTCTCCCTGCTTCAATTTTCAGGTACGATGTTCTCTCCTGCTTTCCTTGGCCACACTATTCCACTATAATTATCTGCCTCACCTCAGGCCCCAAGGAATAGAGTCAGACATCTATGGACTGAGGCCCCAAGGAATAGAGTCAGACATCTATGGACTGAGGCCCCCAAATAAATGTTTCTGCCTTTGAAATTTTTTCTTGTCAGGTCTTTTGAAAAAGCTGACTAAAACATGTGTTTTGAAACTCCTCTCCATATGACTCAGATATGCATCTCTGTTGAGTATCAACCACTGGGGTGTTTGTTATAAATAGTCTTAGACTAGAATCTTGGTGAGTTCAAGAATCATATTCTTATTAGAAAAAAAAAAGTGAAGGTATTGTCTAAATTTCTGTAGTCTTGCCCATCTTTAAAAGTATTTAAAGGATTTTTTTTTTGTTCTACAAATTCTGAATTTAGTCATACAATTGGGGATTAGCCATCTATCTTTGCTCTTTTGTCTGCCTCACTTTTAGGATACTCTTTGAAGATACAGGTAGTGAAAGCCATATTTTCAGGGGGACTGTGAAGCTACTTCTGTGGTGGAGTATTCCACAGGCATCTACATGTACACTACTATAACTGGGTCTTGTTACCAGTTAAATTTACTCAAAGTATAATGCTGAATACAGCAATTAGCAAATTGGGCTCTAAGATCTATATTGCATCTGATTAAAGGCTTTGGATTCCTGGGTTTACTTTTTCTTTCTTATATATATTTTTTTCTTTTCTTATTATAATTAATATTTCTTTTCTTCATCAAATTTATATGTCCTTATTAGTTCTCTACTGAATAATACCTGTTGCATCTCCTCATACCTCAAATTGATCATCCTCAGTTCTTTTCCTTATCTTTACTTTATCCTGCTGTTTGTACACTACCATGTTTAAAAACTCTTTGAACATTTATATTTGTGGTTTCAGTGCACTTATATTTAAAAAAATTATTGTCTCTAGCCTCAAATCAGGAGCTAGTTTGATGTTTTTTAAAAATTAGAAATAATATCAAAATTGCAATTATAAAATTACAAAACTAACCAGCTAGATCCTGGAAAAGCAAATTTGTCCCCAGACAAAATTTTGAGTTACATGAAAAAATAGCAATTCAGTATGTGGAGAAAGCTGAACCCTAAATGGAAATGTAAAATACTTCCTGTTGGAAATAATATGTGTCTGACACAGATGCTGGCTTCCCTAGATGCTCAACAGCTCCTGAGAGCTAAAGAGCCATGTGTGAAGTGATGCCTCATGGAAACAAGTCATTCTGCTTTGCCAAAGCCATCTCTTCCTTCTGGAACTAAGCTGGAATTAACATTGGCTTTTAATGTAACAGACATTACTTCAGGCGTCAAGAATTTCCTGTGGAATATCTGTGGAAACAAGGGGGTAACTGCCAGGAAAAAAAAAAAAACAAACATGTTTCTCTCTACTTTCTAAAAATTAATTTAGTCCTTGAAATGCATACCAAATAGATTTTTAAACAAATGTCTTATAGCTTGATTTCCTACTACCATCACTAAAAAGAGAAAGTAATGTAAATGCTTCTGTTTCACTTTTTTTCTTTTTTCCCCAGTACTGGGAACTAAACCCAGGGCTTCACACATGCAAGGCAAATGCTCTACCACTGAGCCAAATCCCCACACTTATTTTGCATATTTTTAAGCAATAAAATGGAGGGAAAATGTGGACAACAATACCTCAAAAGACTTACTTTCATTCAAGGTGAACTTCCACACAGTGTTTATGTGAGCGTCTCCAATGTACACGGTCCCATCTTCAGATGCAACAATATCATGAGGCATGTCAAAGTGCTGCCAAAATATAAAGGCACATATTAGGGTGGTGAGCCTTTGCTTGAATTTACGTTTGAGTATAACTCTAACCAAGGCAACAATAATTCCCAGCAAAGCAACTCTAGACCAAGTAATTTACTCATTCAATCATTGGGTCTTGACTTTGACAGGCATAATTCTAAGCACTGGGAAATGCTAACAGACCCTCACTGCTGACTTTTAATTCTTTTAAAAACTGAAAATTTATGAGCAGTTTGTTTTTTAACCGCTGTTTAGTGTTTCACTACATACCTAATTCTTTATATTTATTGTTGCCTTTGTGTTTCTTCTACCTTTTAATCATCAAATTTGCCTTTCTCCATCTATATAAGTGAAAAGGACCAGGTAACAATTTTGTTATTCTTATCAAGCTATAATGAGATAACTTAACAATCATTTTTACATTATTGTTAAGGGGGTTATTTTAAAGATCCAGGGCATTTAGATTATTTCTGATATGCATACTAGGATATATGCAGTGATGTGGGGTTTTATATTCTTGAAGTCTAGTGTGTGCAATATTTTTAGTTAGCAGAGGAAACAAACTGAGTGCTACTTCCAAGAACTTCATGTACTTTTATACTTAATTCAGATATTTTATTTTTTAATGTTTTTCTTCATTTTAAGTAATCCTCTCATTCATGAGGACCCAGGAGATAGAGAACACTTTATGTGACTCAGGGTTACTAAGCTGTTTCCTTATAATGTGCTGCTGCAGCTTCCAAAAGTGCTTGAGGTCCACCAGTTGTCAGGACATGGATTTTTTCCTTTACCTTTGCAGCCAACAGGCCTGCCTGCATTCATGGTTCTCAAACTTATATCTAGTAAGTATGAACAAAACACTCCCCACATCGTGGGCTCATCAGCCAGCAAATACCCACCTTAGCATACTGAGTACAAAGGACACTAAGGAATCCAGCTGCTGTTCTTCACTCATTTCAGGACTGGCAGAGAAATATGTGCTTTGTAGATACTATTATGTTTTAGAAACGGGAAAAGTTTTGTTTTAAGAAAAATCGAAGAGCTATGTCAATGAGGCCCATTCCTTCATATTATCACACAAATTGGGACAAACATTTAGAGAAGGATAAAGAACCAGAAATCGAAATGTTGTCATATTGAAAGCTCACAGGTGTGTCATAAACCTTCATCTTCATTTTGAGTTTAGCTAATGGCAATGAACTTCCAAATTATAGCAGTCCCTATTCTAGAATTTTATTCTATATTATAAAAAGTTACATTATATTAACTTTTAGAAACTGCTATGCAAAACATAGTTGTAACATACCTCAGATTTCCTAATAGAAAAAAAAATACAATGGTGAGGAAGTAAAGGTGAGGGGAGAATATGTGAGTATCTATTGGCTAATGACTTTGTTTTAAATAAATCATGGTATATCATAAATTCAAATCTATAATAATAATAAACTTTCAGTGGCTCTCAAACTGATCTGGAGAGCCAAGGTTTTTACTGGAAGTAGTTTGGAACCATTGTAGGGATTCAGGGTCAGGCTTAGTGGGTGGGACCTCAGGACCTCTATTCCTATTGCAATCAGAGAAACTCAGCTATATTTTTTTCTTTATTTTTTTATTAGAGCATTATAGTTATTCATACTAGTTGGGTTTATCCTGAAAAAAATCATACATGCATAAAATTTGGTTAACTTTTTAATGAACTATTCTACTTCTCTGTGCTACCTGAAACAGGGAATTGAGCTTTAGGAATAAATATAAGATTTCAAAGTTGGACAAATGTAAAGTCTTCTAATGCAGGCTTTGAAAACTCCTCTGTGAGTTACCTCTAGCAAAATAAAACTGACAAGAGAAAATAATGGTGGCATCTTCCTAGGGCATCAAGTGAAGAAGCCCCAGGTGGCCTGCTCACAAAATCACATTTTAAAAATTCATAAGGAATTCTGTGTTCTGCTCCATATCACAACTATGCACACTTTTATGCAAGAATAATCTTTAAACCTACTTTACTTTTAAGTAAAGTATTTTTCCTAAGAACTTTTACCACATTTATGTTGTGATTTAATATAGCCCTTGGCAAATATGTATCTCAGGAATTAAAAGGTTAAGTGCATTTTTAGAGTTAGAAAAACCTAGGTTTGAGATCCAAGTATGCCACTTATAATCTGTCTTTGGACAAGTAATTTAATTTATGTGTGAGTCTTTCAACTTAAATATTGTCAAATACTATATAATTCTAATCTCCAATGTGAAGGTTGGAGAAATAACATGAATCTGGGCTTACTGCGCCATTCTTTTTATTTTTCTCTTTTGGGATAGAGGTGTGGGGATCATGCCCTTTCTTTTCTACATTAGATTCCTTGCAGAAAAAAAGAAGACAAAATTTCCATTCTGAAGGGTATGTGAGAAAGCAGACGATGAGGGACATCATTGTCATTAAATTATGAAGAGAAGAAACCAGTGGATGACTATATGTGTTTTGTACTCATAGTTTTTTGACAGCATTTCACAGATCATCTTCATGGTCCTATTATCTTAATTTCCCTGAATAAACATAAAGATAGAGCTCACAGATTCAGAGGTATACAGTTCTACAGAATCTAATCGTGAAAGGGGAGAACTGAAATATGTGAGGAGATATGGATATTCATAGAGACATAGACACATTATATAAAATTTGACCTTTGACTTGAAAAACAAATCTCTTCTTAGAGGTCCATACACCTATTATCATTTCCTTCACCCATTTTTTATGATGATAATCTAATTAAATAAAAATTCTGAGAGATTTGTTCATGAATTTCAGTTTACTGAGTGAACATAAAGGAAAAGCAAATCTCATCTTTTCAGGTTTGCTGTACTGACTCCCATATTGTACTCATTCATTGCTGAATGTCTGGTGAGTGCTGATGTTTAGGCACAATGTTTTCTGAAATTTTAATTCAAGGTTGTTCAGATTCTTACACCAGTAAGGTTCATTTAGAGTTTGGCCTCTTGCTCAACATATAGTTTTGATTTCTAAAGGCATATTTTAATTAAAAGTTAATATTCTAGTTGACCCAGTACAACATCATTAAAATAAAAACATAAACACTCTATTAACACCAAGTGAAGACCTGAAAGAAAATAGAGGTGTGGGGATCATGCCCTTTCTTTTCCACATTAGATTCCTTGCAGAAGAAAGAAGACAAAAATTCCATTCTGAAGGGTGTATGAGAAAGCAGACGATGAGGGACATCATCGTCATTCCTTTGATTATGAAGAGAAGAGACTGAGTAGAGAGGAAGAGCAGGAGAAGAAGATTACCTCTAGATAGGGAAGACAGGTGGGAGGGAAAGGGAGGGAGAAGGGGAATTGCACGGAAGATGAAAGGAGACCCTCATCGTTATACAGAATACACGTATGATGATGTGAGAGGAAAAAAGAAAGTGTGTCACATTAGTTTGGGTAGAGAGAAGTGATGGGAGGAGAGGGGAAGGGAGGAAGGATAGGAAGAACAGCAGAATAAAATAGACTTTATTATTGCTGTATGTATATATGTGACTGAATGACTAATGTGATTCTGCAACCTGTACACTCAGAAAAATGAGAAATTATACCCCATCTGATTCAAATGTATGATATGTCAAAATCATTGTATTGTCATGTGTAATTAATTAAAACAAATTAAAAAAAGAAAAAAAAGAAACTGAGGGATGACTATGTGTATTTTGTATTCTTCACCAATAGATATGAGAAAGTTACCTCATAGGGACACAAATCAGCAAAGATCTGAAACACTATGAAAGCAAAATATGTATCATCAATGTAATGAATTTTCTTCTGACAACTGCTATGATTTGATATTTAATTGCTTAATGCTTTTCAGAAGAAATATTTCTGTGAAAATTTTATTTGTGAAATACAAACAGAAACCCTAAGAAAAAAGCTTGTGCTGGAATCTTTAGTTCAGACTCACTTTGGTTTGATTTGTATACTTTAACTTTTGCTAAAAGCTCCATTGTAGAAGAGGCTGTGTCCACTGTCATTTGGCATTCTTTGTCATCATCAGTATTTGGCACAATATCTGACACAAAGCAGGTGCTTAGTTCATACCTTCTCCAATGAAATGTGATAAACCCCAGACCACCAGTAGCCTAACATTAATTTCTAAAATATTGAGGCCTTTTAAAGTTCTTTTTCTAAAAAAAATTGACCAAACTTGGTATCTTATACTCTGTCTGATGGCTTAAGATAGTTGCATTTTGATCCAAGTAACGTCAATGACTACATATTTTGAAAAATAATGCTTATTTGAGTATTTTAGCTGGCTGAACTTTCTAAAAGTGGTGTACCACAAACACATTCCTGAAGTGTATGTGAACATTTTGATCACTCTGGCAATCACACTGTAGAAAACATGCACTGGGAAGACAGACAGTCTATGTAAACACTGAGCCATAGTCACTGTGTGTGTAAAAAGCACTATTTCTAGAAAAAACAGTGGCAAACTTTTTGTGAAGCCAAAACCACACTTTAGGCTCTGACCTAAACTAAGTCTTTAGAACTTAAATAAATTCCAGGAAGTGCTATTTTCAAGCATTTCTGCTTAGCAAAGTCACAGTGATAAAGAGAGAGAGAGAGAGAGAGAGAGAGAGAGAGAGAGAGAGAGAGAGAGAGAGAGAGAGAGAGAGAACACGATTTCTACTAGGTCTAAGAGAACTACACATGTACATTTAACATGTGGTGTCTTCACTACTTGGATTAAACCAGGAAAAGAAATACTTTTTGGTATTCTAACTATAATATATTTAAATTTGCTATAATATCTAAAGTCTAATAACAACCTGGGAACTGAATGCAGAGTTCAATTTCATCTGCAGAAATAGATCTAAGAACAAATAAGGACATTTTTTCTAAATAAAACATCATAATAGCATACTCCTATCAACATAGCTAAGAAAGTTTTATCAAATCATCTAAAAGTTTTTAAAGATTTATTCAGGATTCATATTTCAGTTTTATTCTCATGAAAATCAAAAACACAGGCAATGTGTGTGAATACCTTGCGAAGTGGCTTGAAGACATCTATAATTTCCCCAGTAGAAAAGTTCATCACAAATCCTTGAAGAGGTTCTTGGTCCCCAAAGAAAGGCTTCCCATTCACTGCGAAGAGCAAACCTGTGACACACATTTAGTTAGTCTTTCTCTAAAATACAGATTGACTGCTTTCAAACATATGCATGTACATTATACAAATAAATAATCCATTTAGGGTTAACCTGGTAAAAAGTTGAAAATGAAATTCTAAAAAATGTTGCCTCCTACATAACCATATCAGGGGCAAACTAGTTAAAGAACTAAGCTTATAAGGGAAAAAACAGAAATTGGAGGGTTTGCTGTACTTAGAAAGAAAGACAACAGAAATCGGGAATACATAGTGATCGACACATACATATACTGACATGTACATATAGATATCATAGGCATCCTAAATAGGAATTGGGAAAGGTTAGATTATTTAAGTCAATCATTTGGGATGTCAAATAATTTGAAAAATATGTAAAGTATGTATTACCTGCCTTAGCTGTAAGAAGAGTCAGAAAGAAATATGCAAAGAAAGTAAGTAAAGTTACAGTATAAATAGGACAATTTTTAGTTTACCTTAGTTTAGTATTAGGGATAAAACCTAGCTGTGCTTTACCACTGTATATATCCCTAGCCCTTTTTATTATATTTTTAAAATTCTGAGACAAGATCTCCCTATGTTGCTCAGGCTGGCTTCAAACTAGCAATCTTCCTGCAAACCAGCAATCAGTCTCCCCAGTTGCTGGGATTAGAGGTGTGCACCCAATCCAATGTTCAGCTGAATAATCTAATTTTAAACAACTGGGATTTGAAAATGTGAGATACATATTTTGAACTATGAAAGATATTTTTCACTAAGTGAATATTTTATGACTATGTATATTTTATGAATATACTTTGTAGTCAAATTATATTTCTTAGTATGGTAATGTTCAACTGAAATAATAGAAATAGTTATGTTTTGGTTAAATAAACAATCCAGATATTTGTACATGACATTTTCAATGATTTAAAACATATTCAAAAATACATAGCACTAGGACTGGGTGTGTCACTCAGTAGAGAAGTGGTTGTCTAGCATGCCCTGGGTTTGATCCCTAGCACCACAAAACAATAAAAAGTATGTATAGCCTTAAATCACTGTTGAAAATATTTCACCTTTATGTAAGTATTACAGATTTTTTACCATATCATATTGTAAAATAAAAGTATAAACATCAATTACTGTTGTTGAATAATATACAGATAATGTAGAATTTCTTTTGCTCAGATTTTGTTTTTAACCAGATTTCCATTTAATTTTTGACAATTTTCTCTTATATTTATTTTTGTTCTCTATTAACTTGATAACTTTATCAAGTGAATGTTCCTGACAAATAATTCTTTAAATGTGAGGTAAAATGAACCAGAGAGGTTTTTTTTGTGGTTTATTAATGAAAATCTTTCCTTCTTGGGGAAGATAATCTTGATCCCTATCCAGTCACCTACTTCATGTCCTAAACAAAATGGGTTTACTTGGGATGACAATAGCCAAGTACACCTTTCACAGTATAAAATATGTAACTATTATAGGGATGATTATAAAGAGTCAATGCTATTTAATATAAGTATAGACACATTTTGCAACATATATTTAAATTGTGTATAAAATTTATATTTTAAGTTGCTTGGCATTTATTATTTAAGGAAATCTTATGCTATGTTGTAATATGAATTATGTATATCTTTTTAAGTTTGGATTACTTTTCAAATTTCTTTTGATATTTCTATTTTTTGGGGGGTGGGTATCGAGGATAGAACTCAGGGGAACGCAACCACTGAGCCGCATCCCCAGCCCTATTTTGTATTTTATTTAGAGACAGGGTCTCTTTGACTTGTTTAAGATCTCACTGTTTCTGTGGCTGGCTTTGAATTTGCAATCCTCCTGCCTCAGCCTCCCAAGACAATGGGATTATAGGCTTGTGCGTCTATACCTGGCTGAAATTTCTTAAAGTTAATAAAATATATTTGAAAATAAAAAACAAAATTATATTGGTTATTTCTTCTAGTATTTAGACATAGCCTCACTTATTTAATATATTTATCTTATTTTAAAAATTGGCTACCACTTCTAAAAACGATATGAAACAGAAATGTTTTGAATGCTGATTTTATCAGACATATACCATCTGTTGATGGTGTATGAAGACAATATTAATCATGTAATAACTAGAGCAGATGATCATAGTTAAGAAAAAATGAAAATCAATATTTGGGAACATTTAAAACCCAATACAAACAGCTGTTAAATCTTTTTTAAGTTCTTCATTATTTCAGTACAAGGAATAGTGGTACTTGAGTTGAAAATGATTTTCAGTGCACTAACAATTTTAAGACACTTTAAGATATGATATAGAATTAACCCCTCAATAAGAAACAAATTTATTTTAAAAAGCAGGTAAAGGCAAATACTTTTGTAGGATAGAGTACAGTATAATAAAAACACATAAAAACGATGAAATACCTGGTATATAGGAAATTGCAAACACATTTCTTCCAAATGATGCATGCTTAATCTCTCTCACAAATTCTTTGGTGTCAGTTTTAAAACACTGGATCCGACCATTTTCCCTGTCTGCCACACACAACTGGCGCAAATGAGGCACAAGGGCCAAGCTGTGAGGAACTGTGAACTGGCCAGGTTTAGGACTGCTCCCTGAAGATGCTATGGAACAAAGGAAAGCCTCATATATACAATTTGTAAAATTATTCAAAGTCTGACTCTACAGTTTTGCAATTTTACAAATTCATGATAGGAAACATTAGATATCTGAAAAATAGAAAAAAAGTGAAGTGGTTTAAAAGTTTATTCCATAATGTCCCTTACTACAAATATATTACAGCTTTTCTCTCCATTTGGATAAAGCTTTTTGGCAGAAGCATTCTTTCTCCCTTATAACACGTGTGGGAGAGAGAGACAGAGAGAAAGAGAGAGATATGAAGCCAAATAGATGCATTCAGTAGCCCTGTTTTCTTTGCTGTAGAGGAGAATTACATCCTAAAAAAACGTGAGAAGTGGCAAATGTCTGGTTCCTAGTGATAATGGCTAAAAATTACAATTAGAAATGAAGAGTATTTTTGGTACCTTCTCCCCACTGTGTGATGAACTTTCCAGTTGGTGAAAACTGCACAATCCGACTGTTGCAGTAACCATCTGACACATAGATGGCTCCAGTGCCTGGATCCACAGCCACATCAGTGGGCTGGCAGAAGTGATTTTGATCACTTCCTGGTTGCATGCTCCTTCCCAAGACTAAGAGAGGGCCTTCTTTACTGTTTGGATCCAGTTTGAATACCTTTTAAAACATGAGCAAGAGCTTTATCTACTTTAATGATGACCACTGAAACACACCCAAATTTCCACAAGCAATTAAGAGTATTAGCTCCCAGAGAATTACTTAAAAGGAGGTACTTTTTATAACTGGACAGGACCCTAGAAATCACCTGCTGTGATTCCTTCATTTCAGAAATAGGCATATTGAGAGGAAGTGATTTGCTCAAGGCCATCCAGTAAATAAGTAGTGAAGAGAAACCAGTATGTGGAAAGGCTACTGTGCCCTCCCTGTGCTTCTCTCTTCTCTTTCCTTAGCTAACATTACAATGATCTCTAGATAATACAACAGCAATAAAGGTTTACTGATGAATATTGCAGACTGTTGAGAGACTTCACTTAGTGAATCATAGTGAAATCTGTGTTCTAGTCCTCCTCCCCACTAATTTTCCTATTTTTTTTTTTTTTTGCCACATGTATTATACTTAAACTTGTCTTCTGGGGTGAAAGACCTTAAGATATTCTGTAACTGAAGTATAACTTTTCCAAAAAAGAACAAAAATATTTATTTTTTATTGATAAATGTGTATTTACAAGAGACCTTGCTTCCATTTATTGAAAATAAAGATGGTAAAACGTAAGTGACAGAAATAAAAATAAGAAATAGAAATAAAATTCAAGGATAGAGGAAATAAAATCAAATGTAGAAAGCCAAGGTGCTTCAAGGGCCCACAAAGATGGGCTTCTTAATGAAGCTCCACAACTGGCCATAAGCAATCTTCCAACCCAAGGGGGAAGAGTATCTTCATAATTTACATATTACCTTTTGCTTGCATGAAGTGCTAGAAAAAAAAATTGAAGATGTGGATTGATATGGACTGAATGTGTGTGTCTCTCAAATTCATATGTTAAAATCCTAAGCCTCAATGTGATGATATTAGGAAATGGGCATTTTGGGAATCAATTAGGTCAAAAGGGTGAAGACCTGGTGAACAGGATTATTGCCCTTGCTAGAAGAGACAAAGAGCTTGCTCTCACTCTCTCTTTCTACTATTTAAGGATACAATGACAAGTTGACAGTCTATGACCCAGAAGAGGGCCCTTATCAGATCCCCACCATGCTGTCGCCCTGATCTCAGACTTTCAAATCTAGATCTGTGAGAAATATATTTCTGTTGTTTACAAGGCACCAAATCTAAGGTCCTCTGTAATAGCAAGCTAAACTGAGCAGGACACAGTTGATCCAATTCTTGTTTTAATGTTATTAAGTCACAGAAAAAGACCTAGATAACTTCAGACCTTTCCAGAGTTTAACCCTGGTATCTTCTATTTGAATACCACTCAATGGGGAGATTACCTGATGGAGAGCCACATCTGTGACCCAGTAATTTCCATCTTTGTCTATACTCAAGCCATGTGGCAAGTAAAACCTGCAAAATAAAAATTACAGTCTTAATTACATATTTATTCTCTAAGTATACATAAGAGTAGTTTGTTTGTAATTAACCCTTCTAATTAATCTATTAAAGCCATACACATTTATAAGTTAATAAATTTATATTATTATAGAAAATGAATTGTTAACAGAACATAATAATAATGTCATAATATAGATTTCCTTGTGACAAAGCTTAAGCAGCATTTAATCAATCATATGAAAATCTATATAAATGAAGCTTATATGAGAAGTATAAATATTATACAGTATGTTATATTAAATAACAATATCAAATTAAAAACAAGTTTTGATCATAAATATTAACATTTTAGAAATATGTATAAAAGAAATTTTCTGGAGAAATTTGATTTTCATAGAATGAACAGGTAAAATATACTGCAAAAATTTAATGTTAATATGAAATAGTAAAAATATGACTCTAACTTTTTTAAGAGTGCCCCAAAACAACAAAACACAAAGAAAACAACTTTCAGTAGGGCCATGATCATCCAGATCAAGTGAAGTGGTGAGCTAGAAAACCATTAATTTATTTAGCCAATCAATGTGGGTGACTTGAGTAAGAATTATACACTGATGTGGACAGAGGCCTGCAAGTTTAAGGAACATGAACAGAGTTAATCAGTACAAGAATAGTATGCTAAGGTTGTTCTGGTCAAAGGACATCTGACAATCTACAAGCCTTATCTGCAGCTTCTAGCCTCCTGGTGTGGGAGTTTCCGGCTCCCACCCTGGCCCATTCTTCCACGGGCCAAGATGGTAACACTCTGATCTCAACTAACTAACTGAACTAAATCACTGTTTTGGCTATAAGAAGTAAGGGCTATGATTTGCTTTGAACACTAACACCCCGCTGCTGGCCAAGTTGATTTAGCAGCAGTTGTTCCACCTTCCCTCTTAATTCCTTTCTGGGATGAAGATGCCTCTGAGTAATGGATATAGCTCCAAAGAGACAGGCTCAAAGACAAAGTAGTACAGCTGGTATTAGAATTTGGCCCCTGATTCATCATCTGAGAATACTACAGAAAATTCTGAGTCTCATTATTGCCATCTCCACAAGCAGCTGCATTCAAAGCAGTGGCTTGCTGCCTTTCAAAGAGCTGGCCTTCCCTGTGCCTAAGCAGATGGAGTCGAGTATAGTTCCTGAGGCTGCCAGGTTACAATGGTTGAGGAGACTCTAAGCAGGTGTCCCTTTCTTTCAATGACCATGAATATCAGCCAACATTTTTTTGGCTGTCAAATTCCATCTAGGAATAAGATCAAATAATGAATGGCATTCAGAGCCAAATTACATATGCATGCTAAGGAAAGCTAAAAAGATATTTGTTTAGTCTTCACATTTAGATGAGAATAAAGCATTTTTTCTTATCACTGATTACTTGATGCATTTAGTATGTAAATTTTCTGTTAAAAAAAGTTTCTTTTAGTATCAAATAGAGCTGACCAGCATGTGTATCAGTGGCTTTAATCTATTCTTTTTTTAAAGTTTCAAATTGACACATTATTATTGTGTGTGTGTGTGTGTCATACAATATGACATAATGATATATGTGTATAATGTACAAGGATTAGCCAGGGGTGATGATGCACTCCTTCTATCTAAACTATTTGGGAGTTTGAGGTAGGAGGATCACAAATTCAAGGCCAGACTGTATACCTTACACCTTGTTTCAAAACAAAAAATAAGGACTGGGATATAGCTCAGTGGCACAGTACCCCTGGGTTCAATATCCAATAAATAATAATAATAATAATAATAGTAATAATGTGCCATGATTATATCAAGCTAATTAACATATCCATCACCTCAAATACTTTTTGTGGGATAGTATTTGAAATTTATTCTTATCAATTTTAAAATGGGAAAAGGATATAAATACAGGTTTCCCAAAAGAGGAATTTTTGAAAGCTTCCCAGATGATTCTAATAATTAGTCAAGGTTTAGAACCACTTATTTAGAAAATAAAAGATGAACTGGCCCAATTAGTCTCCTACTTTCTTAAGGGGAGCTGTATAGCTGAATGAAGCTGGCTATCTGTGGACTGAGACCTCTAAAACTGTGAGCCCCCCCAAAAATTTTTTCAAGATTTTATACAATGCATATAGTACAAGTGTTAGTAACAACATATGCCATTTAACTCACAGGTTTTTCCCACTGGAATGGAGTACTGCAGCATTATTTGGATCAATAACAAGAATGGTGTCTTCTTCAATTGGTCCAAGTCCTCTTTGTTGGTAAACAAACTTGCTGTCAAAAGAGCTAAACAAAACACATTAAAATGAAAATAAACAACCAGAAACTCAAGTGACCTTTCACTTGAGATTCTTAAGAGACCCAAAGAAGGGCTGAGATGCAACTGACTTCATTCTTGTCTCTTGGGTTATGATATATACCATTAGCTATTTAGGGTGGTCAATGGAGCTGTGGCATTGGCTTTATAGGGGAAATGTAGTCTCAGATCCTCCAAGCCTGAATCTGCATGTTCACAGAACCCTGGAAGACTTTAGGAAACACTCACTAAATATAAATTTTTAAAAGCTGTCCAAATTTTATAATTCAACAGATAATCTTTCAAATTGCAAAACAAAGTGTAACTTATTTTCTTTTTCTGTAATGATAATAACAGTAGGAGGGTAATGATAAAAGTATGTTATTATGCATGCTATAGGTACATGTGAACACATTATAAGGATATCAACAGAATGTCAAAAATGCTTAAAAACCAAAACCAATTTATTTTTAAACAAAAATATGCTTAATAACAGAAAAAATTTTCCATATAACACAACAGCTTTACTATGGAATAATTAACTAAAAAACTTAAGATGAATATGTGAATTTCTGCTTTTTAAGTCAGCACCTTCGTTATTATAAAATTTATGAATACACATGTTCATATATGTTTTAAATTTATATTTCTATCTAAATTGCTAGTAATATATTTTCTTCAATTGACAACTGTCATAGACATTATACTTATTTCAGTGCCTGTTTGAGAAATTACAGTAGTCTGTCTTTATTTTTATTTTTGTAGTTGTAGATGGACAGCATGCCTTAATTTTATTTGTTTTTTATATGGTGCTGAAGATTGAACTCAGTGCCTCACACATGCGAGGCAAGTGATCTGCCACTGAGCTACAGCCTCAGTTCCTGTCTTTATTCTTAAGAGAAACCTTCCAAGACTCTAGTGGATGACTGAAACCAAACATAATACCAAGTCCTATATTTATTATGCTTTTCCCTGTACATACATATCTATGATAACATTTTTTATAAATTAGTCACAGTGAAAGATTAACAAAAATAACTAACAATAAAGTAAAATATAATAATATATTGCAAAAAAAATGCCCAAATCACTACTGTGATGGTTTGGAAGTGAAGTGTCCCCCAAAAGCTCATGTGTGAGACAATATAAGAAGTTTTAGAGGAAAAATGATTGGATTGTGAGAGCCTTAACCCAATGAGTGAATTAATCCCTGATGGAATTAACTGGTAACCAAATCAGGTAGGGTATGGCTGGAGGAGGTGGGTCCCTGGGAGAGACACTTTGGGGTATATATTTATATCTGGAAAGTCCTTAACTTCCTGATCATCATGTGAGCCACACTCTTCTGCCACACTCTTCTGCTATGATGTTCAGCCTCACCTAGAGTCCTGAGGAATGAAGCTGGCTATCTGTGGACTGAGACCTCTAAAATTGTGAGCCCCCAAATAAACTTTTCCTCCTCTAAAATTGTTCTTGTTGGGTCTTTTAGTTGCAGCATAGGAAAAAAAAGCTAAATAAAACAACTACTCTTGAACTTTGGGGCCATTATTAAGTAAGAGAAGGGTTAGCTTAACACAAGCACATGATACCAGCATAGTCAGCCTGATGGAACCAAGACATATACGAGGTGACTATTGAAAGGTAGCAGATCTAGCATAGGTACAATGGAGAAAGGGATAATTCACATTCTGGGAAGGACAGAGGGAGAGCTCATCAGGCTCCTCAGAACACTGTATAATTTAAAATGATTAATTGTTTATTTCTGTAATCTCCTACATAATATTTTTGGATCACGGTTGACTAAGTAACTGAAGCCATGAAAAAACAACAAATAAGAGAGAAAAACTGTATATGTCCATGGAAAGAATGACAAAGTCTTCTAATCCAAGCTTATGTAATATGAGGGTAAATGTATGAAACACCAAGAGAACAACTTATATTTTTAAAACAAAGACATAGACATGTATATAAATGTGTGTGTATGTGTGTGTGTGTGTGTGTGTGTGTGTGTGTGTGTGTATTTCAGCCAGAGGAAGTCAATGGATGATCAATGCATATTTCTGTAAAATAGAAATTCCATTATAGTATTGGGAAATGCTGTGTAAAAAATTATTAATATTTTGTAGTTCCACCAAATAAGCAAAATAACAATTTGAATAACATTGAATATTTACAGAGATATATTTGCAATTTGGGAAGGTGACAGACTGCTTACATTTGTCATATATCCATTGATTAGTAAGTTGATATTTTTATACAACTTATGTGAAGTCCCAGTAGAAGAACAAAAATTTTGCAAATTACTTTCCCTTGCCATTAAAAATATCCATCACATCATTATCTGAGCTTCTTGACTATTACAGCCTTTTGTATATATCTTATTCCTGAAAGATAACAACAATAAGTCCCTGAAGTAGTTCTTATTAATGATGCATTCAATTGAACACAAAATATTGATTCAGCTTTGTCAACCTAAAACTTAAGTAAAACTGTTTACATATGCTATCCTGTGCAGTTAAAACCACACAGCAGTATCTAAAAAATACATAAATTAATGAAATGGAAGTAGCACCACTAACAAAACAGATATAAGATGTTCATGGGACCATTATTACATTGAAATGTGTAATACTGTTGGATGTATAAGAATATACAAGGTATTATTAAATCATGAGAGATGGATTTAAGGGCAAACATGCAGTCGCTCATGGTTGATACTATGAAAACCAAGAAATTAATATTATAATCTGAAGATATTTTCAATATTATTTTTTTACTTAAAATATCATAATTATTCATTAGGGAAACAAAATTCCCTGGATTCATCCATAAATGATCTTTGTCTTTCAACTTGTCTGTGTTATTGGAAAACGAAATTTTGACACATCTAAACAGTATGCTCTAAGTTTCCCATCTATGTGTATGAAACAGGATGTAATCTCCTTATTCATTTTTTAAGGTTCAAGTTTTATATTCCTCATGATTCAGAAACATTTCAGTACTTGAAAATCACCATAATTATATAAATAATGTGAAACTTATGCTTTAGGAGTTACTATGTCTCTTTTTTTTTAAGGAAATTTTTGAGATAACTGTGGATTCACATGCAGCTGTAAAAACTGACACAGAAATTTTCTCTGTATAATTTACCTAGTTTTCTCCATTTTGTAAAAGTGTATTAAATGTCACAATTAGGAGACTGCTACAGACAAAATCTACTGATGATATTTAGATTTCCCGTTCTCCTTTTTATTTCCTAAAATTTCCATTTATTCTTACAGTTCATTTGCTTGAGCATGGAATATAATGGCACATTACTTTTCTACATTATCTAAAATTCAGTAACATGAGAAGTTAGCAAGTCTTTACAATCAAGTTTGTATGTAAGATAGTGTTCTAATTTACCACTGACAGCTAATAATGGCAGCAATCCTACAGTCTATTACATGTCTTATAAGACTTCAGTATATAAGAACTCAGCACACCTAACTCTATATCTTCTGTCTACAGAGTGATGAACCTGATATATTTACTTAATCCTGGTTTTCTCCAAGAATGGATTGCAGTAACTTTGTAAGATAACTTCCCCCCCCACACAAAGCCATCTTGTTATTCATTTAAATATTCACCATTGGATCTAAATCTCTGCTCATTTTTTTTTAATGTACAACATTCTTACAACTTACTGATGGGGGAAAAGTAGAAAGAGCAGAAAGGAGATTTTTCCTCTCAGGAGCATTCATTGAACTTGTACAACTTAAACCATTTCTTATAGCTCTAGCTTATTTCTCTAGACACTCAAATATTTCACAATATAAATATTATTCACAGGCAGTCATGTAAGCTCGGAGTCATGGATCTGAAACATTGGGCTTGGCTTCCAAGAAAAAAATCTGTGTTAAGGAAGAAAGATAAATAATCCAGACCCACAGTGCTGTTCCAGTCAGGTCAAATGAAAATGTTGCAGCTGATGAATAGGTAAGTGAAGTACATCCTTTATCCATGGTACTGTTCTGCACTGCTCACAAATGTAGAAAAAATATGTCAAATAATTTATGGTTTGCTGTCACAAACACAATTTGTGTGTGGGCCTCTAAACTTACAATCTAGAGACTTCAAATTTCTATGAATGGTAATAAACAGTAAAATTAGGTAATTTGAAGATTATCTATTTTTATTTCATTACCTACTTTTTGGTGATTTAACAGTAAATTGTGAAACAGAAAGTGAAGTAACTGAAAAAAATAAGTAACAAAACTACATAAGACAGTAAATAAGTCAGATATTGATCATCATAAATTGGACCAACAGAATATATTTACTTTCTCAACTTATCAAGGTATGTATTATTTCTGGTGCCAGGGTTGTGGCTCAATGGCAGAGTGCTCACCTAGCACAAATGAGGCCCTGGGTTTAATGCTCAGGCAACATAAAAATAAATAAATAAAATAAAAGTATTCTGTTCATCTACAACTAAAAAATATTTTTACAAAAGGCTTATTTTTTAGTACATATTATAATGTAACAACTAAGAATTTGGCCTTATTGTTTATTTCATTAGCTACCACAAAGTACACTCCTGCTATTAGTGTATAAAAAAAGAGCAATTTATATATTTCTTAAGACTAGCCAATTTTCCATACCTTTATAATTACTTGTACATATTACTACTATGCTTCCCCTACATCTATCAAAGATCTCATTGATTATGCAAGTTCTTGAATTTATTAATTGGGGACTCTAATTTATTAATTGAGAAATGTAATTACAATCCATCAGACCAAGAAGAATAATAACAGAGGAAAGAAAATATAACAAAACAGAATTCTAAGATGCTCTACTTATATTAATAGCAGTTTAAATATATTAATTTACTTTAGTAATAAAAATAGATAAGAAAATATAGAATTCTTAGGAAGAATGTAGCTGTAAAGGAGTTAACCACAACTCAAGAGGGCCCCACTGCTTCATTTAAAATCTTTGTTGACAC